CCCCTGAAGGCCTCGCCCCCTAGGAGTGCTGGGTCTTTTGGGTCTTAAAAGGAGAGAAGAGGTGGAAGAGAGAGGGGTGGGCTGGGGCGGGGCAGGGGAAGACTGTGGAGGTACAGAGCCTGGGGTCTTCCCACTGGGGCAGTAGAGCGGCCGTTTCTGATAAGGAGTCCCGCTGGCTCTCTTGGGTTTTTCTTGTCATTCATCTCGTCTGGCCAGGCCACTCCTCAGCAGGTTGGAGGGGCTGGTGAATGGCTCAGAGCACGGGGCATATGAAACAAATTAGGTCTCCATTACAGCCACCCAGAGGCGGGTGATGGATGGGGCCTGCATTCACGGCAAAGCTAATTGGCAACACACAGAGACATCCAAGAAAGTGTATTATTTTGCCAGACTTTGGAGTCATTGGTCTTTTCTTTTATTGTAGAACTTTATACAGCTAGAGATAAAAAGCACGGTGAAAGTTTTAAATCTAATAAAAGCATTTGACTGCAGAGTAAAAATAACATACACAGAGGAGTTTGATTTGGATTCAGGTTTTATTAATGTTCTTTTATTGCAAAATGTTTCCGATTAAAAAACAATTTGGATGCTGTGCAAGCGCAACGACCAGAGTTCGATCCCCGGTACCAAACAAACAAACAAACAAACAAAAAAAACAATTTGTAGAGCGCCACATTAATAAATGGCTTATCTTTGTGATGGGTCAGAGATTTGGAAATGCTGTGGTGAGCACACACGCACACACACATGCACGCACATGCGTGCCTGCCCTACCACCAGGAGGTTGTTACAACACTAAGAATATTCTAACCTTTAAATTTAGATACTGATGTATGGCTCAGAGCTGGGTAGAGGACGAAAACCTCATGGCTAGGTTTGGAGAAAAAGCACCTGCAGTTTATTCAGTGTCACTTGATCCAAGGACACCACAGAATACACAAGCTTGGCTTAGATGTCACCAGCAGGGATCAGCAAAGGCCAGAATATGTTAGGCCCCCATTTCCCCAGTTGTAAAACAAGGCTGTTGGTTTCATTGGTCTTTGAGGACTTCAGAATTTCTCTAGGAAAACAATAAAGACACTTACTGATTTTTTGGAAGTGTTTTTAAATCTTTATTTTAGGAAACACTAATTAAATCTGAAATGAATGAGGAGTGGGAAGAAACAAAGCCATAGTGGGTCCAGGAGCTGACACTTGGGTCTAGTTGTTTTTAAAACACAACTAGTAGTATGACTAGCTCCAAATGAAGTTTGCAGAATAATCAGCCAGTATCATAATATGGGGGCTAAGCATTATCAGATTATTTTTAACCAGTCTTTGTCAAGTAACTGGCAAATTAATCAGTTCCTCAAATAATTCCCAACAAGTTATTTTTAGAATAGCTAGTAATTTCCAATTCAAGTACTTGCTTAACTATATCCAGCTGTTTTGTTTTTTGCCCCCTCACAACTGGAGTTTTAGCTTCAGGGAGGAAACACAAGTCTAACTGGCTGCTTTTTTAAGTGGTTTGAGCTGTTTGGCCTGAGGGTCACTTTGGGGGACTTCACCTTTCCTTCCACATTTAGTCACTGGATGACCCAGGAATGCTGGTCATAAACCTGGGAATAAGCACCTGCGTCCCCAAAGACCAGAAATGAGGTTTTGTTTCTGCAGGGTGGGTGTAAGAGTGGGCTGGGCATGGATTTAAGCTTTTGCAGGTATGGAAGCTGAATGCACTCTATCTTCCCACCCTACCCACCACAGCCAGATTGCCTCTCCAGCCTCCTGGTCCTGGCCTGGTCTCTAATGCCCCAGAGGAGGGCAAAGATAGTCTCTGAGCCAGTAGTTAACAGAGACGCATGTAGCTGGGTTTCCAAGCCCTAGCTCCCCTAGAGCCTGCCAGAGGTTGCTCAGTACCAAGTCAAGAGCTTGCTGCTGGGTCAGCTAAGCTGACAGAAGAAACAAAGGGAACGAACTTATCTTTTCTTTGTAGTGGCCGCTGGTCCTCCTCCCACTTGCTCCTTTCCACACCTCCAGAAAGGATGCTATTGCCGGTACTGGGTCTAGGACTGATTTCCAAGGAGAGCAGAATCTGCACAACTGCACAACCCCACAACCAATCTCATCATTTTGTCTCTACCTCACACCTCCGCACCTTGGTTAACTCGGCCTGGTGGTGACCACGGCCCACAGCTCTCTCCTGTCTACCTTCCCAGGGCCTGGATGGCCTTTGAGTAAACAGATAGCCTAGCGAGGTATGTGATCAATTAGCTTTGCTGAAAATACAATCATTTTGTTATTCCAAGCTGATGAGAAGGCCTCTTCGGCCTGCTCTCCCAGCCTCCACATGCCAATCAGCCTGTGTCACCGATATAATTTTCCACATAAACACAACCTTTGTGCAACATCTACTCTTGTAAATAGATGTAATTCCCAAACCAAATAACGCACTTGGAGGGGAAATGGATATTATGCATGCAAAAAGAAAAGCTGGTGATTTTTACACTTTCCAGGCAACAAAAGATTATCCCTAATTGCAAATGGGGAGGGGGGCCGTGGTGGGCAGGGAGGCGGCAGTGGCTGCTGGGAAACAGGGAGGCCAGCTTCTAGGAGGGTTTTCTCTGTGTGCACATATGTGAGTGCAGACCACCAGGAACTGCTAACAGGGGATTTGTCCTGTTTAAGCAATGGGGAGAACACGGCTCTTGTTGTTGATATCTTAAAGGAAACGGAGAGTTACTTAATTATAAGGTTTGGTCTCTCTTGCCAGGAGAGACCCCCTCTGAACCCTAAACTATACACATCCTGTTGCAGAATTTCCCCCCTGCCTGGGAGTGGCCTCAGTGGGCTGCGAGCTCCTCTGAAATGCACTGGTGTGTCTTTGTCAATGTTCTGCTCATTTACATGGCTGCCAAAATTAGACTTTGAAACCCATGGAAGTTGCTGGGCAGCCAGAGGGTGAGATCACCACAGAACCACTGTGTAATCCCAGCCAGGTCCAGGTTCTCCTACTGCTGTGGAAATGAAGGCTGAGACCCCCCCTCCAGAGCCTTTCCCTTCCCTGTGCCCCCCTGGTGCAAGAGGGAGAAGGCCTTTTGGGGTCAGCATGCCCAGAGTCCCAGACCGACTGTAGGGCAGAAGGAGGGCTCCGAAAGGAGTGAACAGCCAGCAGAAGGAAGCTACAAGGTGGCTGGGTGGCCCCACTGTGCCAGGGGGCCTGAGTGTTGGTGTTTCTGGGATGCCACAGCAAACTCTACTCCAGGCCAGGCAGCCAGGCTCCAGGCTTTATTCTTGTGCTTCTTGCAAGTGATAGGTTCACAGAAGATCAACAAAAGGTTATTTTTGTCTTTTGCAAAGATGCTTCTATGAGCAGGTAAGTAACAGCATCTTGGGTTCAAAATAGTCTTGATGCTTTCCTAGAGTAGTTCTGGGTCTTCCTTTTGTCTGAGTTGTAAACAGCAACAAGGAGGAAGAGAAAGGAAGAGTGAGCAAACATGGGGCACATTCAAGGAGCAAATAGAGTGACCATGGGGCTCCTGGCTCCTTTCCCGGTTCCAGCCCCGGCCTGGAGGAAGGGGTGGGTGGACCCCATAACATTTCAGCTAAAAAGATTCCTCTTTCTAATCCTTTCCTCCCCCATCAAAACTGGGCCAAAGAACCTTCCTCCGAAGCATCCCTTGGTCCCTGACTCATGAAGCCCATCTGAAACTCATTAGCTGCTTAAAATGATTGTCATGGGAGTGCTTGGTTGAGAATAAAATGACAGAAGGATACTTTTAAAGGACAATAATCGGGACCCAAATGCTGGCAGATGTTTGGAGACCTGGCTGTTGAGGACCCCACACTGTGGGGAGGAATGGGGACTGACTCCTTCCTTGACCCTGGGCTTGGTCCTATGTCTCCATGTCTTTGTTTCTCCTACAGCTCCTGGAGTCCAGGGTGCTTACATAGCCCTCCTCAGGTACCTGCTGAGAGATCCCAGCTCAGGGACACCCATAACCTAACTCTGGGGACAGCTGTGGTGGTCCCTTGATCCTTTGTCATTTGTAACTTAATTCCTATGCTTTGCAGATAAACTGATTTTATATTTGTAGTAACAAAGCATAATATATAAGAAATGTTGGACTTATGATAACATATCATATTAAAATCACAGAGTTAAGAATCTTAGAGTTATAGAATCTTCAAAATATAGAGCATGGAATTAAAAATATTTTTTTTGCATTGTGGGGTCTGAGAAACCGAGAATCTTGGGCTCATACTGTTAGAGTTCTTGCAAAATTAATTTATAGAATCACATAAATGGTTTAAATCTTCATAGCCTAAAACATTAGAGTTAAAGAATTTTAGAATTATAGTATTGGAAGTTTAGAATACTAGAATTGTAGAACATTAGAAATATGGAAGGACAAATTTATAGAAATATAGAACCATGGTCTCTTACAATCACAAAACTTGAGCACAGTGGAATATCAGACTATTAAATTTGAAAAAAGATTGAACAGTAGAAACTTAGAGTCACTGAATATCAGCATCACAGACTGGCAGAATTAGAGAACCACCCAGTTTAGAACTAGAGTTTATAACAGTGGACTCCTTGGATTATAAACTCTCAGAATTGCCGAACATTAGAATCAGAGTGTCTGTTCTGTTAGGGAAATACAAGACATATAAATGACAGAATTTTTGAATTACAGGATTTTAGACATAATTTTAAAGAATTTCAGGGACAGAAAGGGATTTGGGGGTGATCACCTCTGCCCCGGACTGGTCGTGTGTGTGCCCGCGTGTGTACACAGGCAAGCACACCCCTGGCTGCCCTGTGCTTATGTCTACACCGCACAGTCTAATCTGTCATTTCTCCGGCCTCTAGAGCTGCCAACTTCCTTTTCTGCCTCCCCTCTCTGCCCTGCCTCTCATCACTACAAATGCCTCCCAGTCCTCTGTTTTTCAAGGAACAACTTATTTTTTGCAAATCATCCAGCATCATAATTCACCATGCCTGTGTCTTGCAGGTCAGGACTATTTCAATGATTAACATATTAGTGAAATGAAGCTTTGGCTTCTTTGGACTATGGGAGAGTTAACAGAAGGGATGATGCCTGCTGAAGTATATGTGGCCTCTGTCCCCAAAGCAGCAGCAATGAGGTCCCCATAGGAAGCCCCACAACCCATTCCTTCTCTGGAGGAGGCTGGAGTTGCTGCAGAGGCTGAGATGAGGAGCTGATCTGTCGAGGTGAGAGGAGATTGATACTATAAACCATTTCATGCTTATTTATTTTATGATCCTCGTAGGCTGGAGTTTACATGAATTGGACAACATGTGGATTAGATAATTTGCCGGGAATTAACAACCTCTGATGGTTATCAGTCTTGGGAGTGATTAAAGCCGGTTGATGAGAATCATTCAACAGCGAGTTGATGATGTTATCCACATCCTCATCGTGTTCAGAGAGATACGGCAGTTCATCACCCAGCCATAAATTCCCACAGGGGACAGCATAGTGCAAAGGGTGGTCAGACATCAGCAGGAGAGTAACACTCAGGATTCTGTTTCACTGAGGAATAAACCAAAAGCAAAACAAAGCCAGCTTCAGAGCCACGCTGGTACTTTATGAAACATTGACTTCCTAGGGAATTAATCCCAAACTCTGCAAAAGGAGTAGCCTAAGATAAACAGTTTAAATATGGAACCTCCTGCTTTTTAATTCAAGCGTCAGAAAGACAGGGTCTGTGTAGTGGCTGCTCAAAGATAAGTCTGTCTTCCCCCTAAGATCTTTTCTCCAGCTCAGTTTCCAGCAGAATCTCCTTGCCTTGGGTTCACCTAAGCACTTTAGGGAGGGAGCAGCTTGGGTTAGAAATCCTGAGCAGCCATCGGGGCAACTTTCAGGCAGATAAGACACTGAAAGCAATGCTTTTTGCCACTTTTAAATATTTTTCTTTAAAAAGCTATCTAATTTAGAAACTCCAAATCCCCACAGCAAACCAAACGGGAGCGGTTCTAAGAATACCATTTTGATGGAGCCGGGATTGTTACAAAACTGAAGTGCCTGCTTGATAGGGAGAATATACAGGGCTCTGGGTCCATAGCACAGCTTGCCTGCATGCTGTGGCCCTTTCAGCCAGTCAGAACTCCTCTCTGGTCCCCGGTAGGCCCACCCACAAATAGGAAGTTGGATTAAATAATCTAAATGTGGGAGCAAAAAATATTAGAAACAGGAAAAGAACAATTTGGCTTTGTTTCCTTTTTGTGAATTGAATTTCAAATTAGTCAGGCCAGTGTTTCTATTTATTTTAGAGACAGTTCAACCACAGACTGCAGTTTGCACTGCTCTAGCTTTTGATTTCTGATGCTAAACAACGAAACCATGACCCCAGGCTTCCTAGACTATGGCCGGACCTATTGTTCACATTTTTCAGTGGTGCAGTGGATTGTGTTAGCACAAATGACAAATGTCATTGCCTCTTTAATTCTGAAAGAAGCAAGGAAAGAGAAGGAGAGTGGAAATGAACTAACAGCACAGCAGACTGGGTGTCAAGAGGCCTCACTGCTTGACTGTCAATTTCCTTATCTGTAAAATGGGGAGGGGATGAAGGTAGGAAAAAATCTCCACATTGTCTTCCAGCTCCAAAACAAAGTCCCAGCCCTGATTCTGAACCAGGTTGCTGGGGACATTGTGCTCCTTTGCATCTATAGATGCTGGAAATGGCAGGGGTGGGTGCCAAGGAAGTGAGAGCCATTACAAAGGGATAATGGCAAATCCCCTGTTTCTGGATAAGTCCCTTTCACCGAGAGCCTGAAAGGCCACGGAGGGGGTGAGCAGGGTGAAAGAGGGGGAGTGGGCTGGGGACCCTCTTCTCACTGCTCCATTGAATGTGGGTGGATCTGTCCGCAGTGAAAGGAAGTGAGGTGGGACAAAGGAAGGGCTGTGCTGGGGGCTCAGCAGTGCCCTCACACAGACAAGGGGCAGGACTGGAGGCTCAGCAAAGCCTGTGTGGGCAACCAGGCAACCAGGGCTGCCTGGCAGGGCTGGGGGATGACAGGTGCTGGTCCAGGTCCTCGGTCTGAAGCCCCGTTTTAAACCGGTGACAATACTGTACATCCTCTCATGATGATCAGGATGGGTTTATGTCTGAAACATTCAGGTCTGGACCTTTCAGGAAGCACCACGTGGTGGTGAGTTTGGGATGTGGGGCTGGCGTGACCTCAGGCCACAGGGTAGTCTGCTCTGCCAGAATGTTCAGTCAGGACAGTCTTAATCCAGCCACCTTGGCCCCGCAGCTGGTCAGTGTAGACAAATGGCCCGTCAGTTTGGTCCAACAAGGGGACAGCTTAGATAACAAGATGTCAGTCCAACAAAGGCAGTCCGTTCAGTTATAGAAATGGCAGGGGGAAAAGGGCAACAGAAGACCAACGACAATAGCAGTTCAGTTTTAAAAAATAACCATGCAATTTCTGCAGACATTTATAAGAAAACAACCAATCAGTTCATGGACACTGTTGCCCAGTCTCACCCAAGCATGTAACCACATGACAGACCTAGAGGCAGGAACATTCAGAAATGCCCCCTGTCCCCGAACACCCGGTGTTCTGCTGTGGAATGTCAGAATTGCAACACTTACAGCCAGTAGGGAATGGGGCTTGGGAATCACGTGGTCTCACTCTTCCCTTGTCATGGGTGTGAGGAAGAACGCTCGGAACCAGGAGCCCAATGTCCTTACCAAGTTGCCACAAGTCATCCGGTCCCCTGTCTCTGAGCCAACTGTCCCTGTCAGGCAGAGGTTCTTCCTTGTGTCTCACCAGACTTTCTCTTGCTGCAGGACCAGTCTGGATGCTCCTCCTTGTGGTCAGTGTCCAGGGTGAGTACACCAGAGCCTGCAGTGGACCAGGGACCCTCTTCTCCTGGGGAAGCAGAGGGTCTGGATGACAGAGGACAACACGGAGGGCCTCTTAGTGTTTGATGAATAAACATCAGAGTCGAGTTTCAGAGCTGTCACTCTGCAGACCTTCAGTGCAGGAGAGGCCAGGTGGGCTGAGGGAGGCCCCATGTGTGGGTGGGCAGCACATGAAGAGGTGGGGCAGGATGGGGGGCAAGGCCCGCTCTGGTCGGCCAGTGGAGTCAGCGTTTGCAGGCCGTGGAACTTCACACCTTTGAAAGGCTCCAGAGCGGCCCACAGGAAAAATAAACCATTCCTCTCATCCATGGCAGATCGACCATCCTCGGGGGCTGCTTGTCATGCGCTCAGAAAGCCTGTAAAAGGGCTCAGTGTTTCCTTTTCCACTCCCTGAAAGGATGCATGCTGAGCCTCGCAGGACTTCTGGGGTGGGTGAGAGGGCTTTAGCCATGGCCAGTGAGGGTGGCAGGGCAGGGTGGGGGCAGGCTGCCCCCCGGGGGACATCTACCTGGGCTCTGGGCCCTGGCTTGCACATCTGGTGGCCAGGGATAAAAATACCTGCCTTAGGCTTTGACTGGGTGTGTGTTTGGTGGTTGATCAGGGCATTTGTGCATACGAAAGTGGCTAAGCACCTGCATGGGTCAAGGGGGAATGAGACAAAGCCTGGGCCCAGGGAGGCACACAGAAGCCTGTCCTGATCTCTTCCCTGGGCCCCAGGCACATCTCCTTACAAATGGGGATGGTAATTGATTCTTGACCTACTGTGTCAGGAAAGGCTTAGGACAAACTCAATGTCACCCGCCTTTGATGAGCCTCATTAAGCCACAGAACTGTCAGAGAGACTAGACATCAAGACACTGTGGAAGCAAGCAGAAAAGATACAAGGGTTAGAGAGTCCTAGGGTTTTTATACAAGTCTTATCTCATTGGGTAATGGCTAAAAGGAAAGCCTTGGGAGCCTTCAGGAGATGGGGTTCCTGCTGCCTGCAGGCATCAGGGAGGGTTTCTCTGAGGAGGTGTCTGTCCAAAGCTGGGAGCTCGGTTTTCACCCAGGGCCATTTGGCTGTAAATGCTTTGAGGCTTAGACTGCTGCTGGCTCCCACGAAGCAAGCCGAGGACAGCCCCAGGATGAACATGTTCTCCTGCCAGGGCTTTTCAGGGCTGGAAGAGATGGGGAAGACAAGGACCCAGAGGGTGAGGAATGTGAGAGCAGATCCCTATCTGAATACTCCAGGAGCACAGCCAGGGATCCCCAGAGGTAGTGAGCGCCTCACTCCAGCAGCTGTCCAGCAGAGGCTGAAGACCTGTGACAAGTATAAGAGGGAGAGGGCACTGAGGGGGTGTGCGACTATCTAAGAGACAGACTTTGTAGTCAGGTACCCTGGCCTCCTGTTCTGAATTTGCAACTCACCCCTGCCCCCCCAGTGACCTTGAGTTAGTCTCCTAGCCTTGGTAAAGCCTCACTTTCCTCTGTGTGTATTGCCAGTAATCCCCACTTCAAAGACTTGCTTTAGGGATTAAGTGAGATAATACACATAATGCATTTAGCTTTTTGGGGAAGGAAAGTTGTCACAGCTGAGACTCTAAGATGGGTCAGGCTGAAATTTGTAGGAGGTTAAGATTCTATGCTTTGGGGAGTCTGAGGTTACAGAAGATTGAATCATTTATTTAACAAACACTTGTTTAATGCTTATCCTGTGCCAGATACTTTCTAGGGACTTTATAAAAATTCACCCACTTGATCTTTATGGCAGTCCTGTGACATAGGTGCTATTATTGTCCCCAGTTTACAGATGAAGAAACTGAGGCAGAAAAAAAGTGACTTCCCCAGTCACATGGTTAAGGAAGTGGTAGAGCTGAGGCTGGACTCTGGTTCCTGAGTTTGTGCACATAAGATTCTAAGAGGGTGAGATTTAAAAACTACTCTATATCCCTAACATTCCAGAGAGTTTGAGGTTATGGGAGTTTTATTAATAATAATAAACATCCAGGATGAGACAATTCTAGAACAGAAGTTAGCAAGCTTTTCTTCTGTAAAAGGCCAGGAGGTAAATATTTCAGGCATGACAGGCCAGAAATTTCCTCCTCACAACTCTTCAACATTGCTACTGTAGTCAATAACTAAACAAATAATAGTTGCTGGGTTCCAATCAAACTTTATTTACGAAAGTGGGCAGCAAGTGGATTTGGCTCTTGAGCTGCAGTTTGCTGAGCCCTGTTCTCAAGACGGCTGGTGATCTCCCACTCGGGGGTGCGCCTAGGTGGGGCCTTCCTTCGGGACTGACAAGATCCAGTCTCCTTATTTGGAGATGTAGAGGGTGACGCACCAGGGTGTGGGGGGTGGGAGCTCTGAGTGTGTCTGTCCCTTTCCGTCCTAGAGAGGCTGTTGAAAATGCTCCTCTCTCCAACAGCACAGCCTCCATTACTCTTTGCTGGAAAACAATGTTAATTTCCCCTAAGCGGGAAGCAGCTGCACTTGTGAGCCAGGGCTCATTTCGTGGCATGAATATTTATGGCATGTCCCCTAATTAAGCCCAGAAATAAAATCTATCCTGCTAACGGGCCACGGAAGACTGGACAGCCGTGTCAGGAACCAGCCTCTTGTGCCTGTAAGTAGGGTTGTCAATGAAACATTTGTTTCCAGAGCCACTTGGTCAGGGCCAGCGTCTGCAAGAGTGGTGGGGTGGGCATTTCCCTGGAGGTCAAGCACCCTTGGTGGGGTTACATGCTGGCCGAAGTGCCGTCTGGGCCATCTCACTGAGCAGTGGTGGCTGGCTGTTCTTCCACACTGGCCTGGGGTAGAACAGAGGTGACTGCAGGACACAGCCCTAGCAAGACTGGTTTTCCTTTAGTCAGAGTTACTCAAGTATTTCTTGACTTGGCTGCAGTGGCCACTTGGAGAGAAAGGGCCTGAGCAGGGAGTTGCCTGTGACCCACGGTTCTCCCAGCCTCAATCCTCCCACTGTTAAAATGGTGGGATGGGGGGACTCAGGACCCTCAACATCATGGAGTTGCTACTAAGAGGTATGGAAGATGATGGAAGTAGAGGGTGTGGGGGAATGGATTCTGGGATTTCCTTACCTTCAGATCCTCAGTCCTTTCAATCCCCACAGCCAAGGAAAGCTGACTCTGCCCAGCCCAGTAACCTTGAGCATTTCCGGAAACCATAAATCTTGACTTTCCCTCGAGGGGTCCTATCTCCTGAGAACTGCTTGGGCCCTCATATCCTCTTCCCCAGAACCAATAAACCAAGCAAACACCATAAAGCTCCTCACCCCACCTGAGCTTTTCCGGCCGTCAGAGTCAGACCTGGTCAAGAATGAAGGGTTTCAGAACACAGTGAGAACCTTCCTGCAGCTCCTCTCCTTTTCCTTTCCAGGAAAGGGAGGTTCTCTGTCTTCTTTTTGATGATCCTCCTCTTTCATTTCTTCTCAGCGTCGGGGAGACCCTGCCATTCGTTCCCTCCCTCCTCCCAGCTGCAGAAGAGCCTGGGTGAGGAGGCTGCTTTCCCAAGGCGGGTCCAGGGTGCAATCATCCTGGGGCCTTGGCAACCTGCACACCTTATAAATTCAAAAGTCAACAAGATGTGGCAGAGAGGAGACCCTCGGGCTGGAGAGGAGGAAGAGGGTTGGTGAGGGTGGACCGCAGCTTTGGCACCCTCTGCCTCCCACCCCTCCCTCTTTGGGGCTTGACCCATGCCCTGGAGCCTCAGGACTTCCTGTTCTCTTCACCTTCACTTCTTGAGCTCAGGTCGGATCCCAGCAACAGCCTGGACCCTGGGAGGGGGCCTTAGAAACCTTTTCTCCCACATCCTCTCACTACAGATGGGGAAGGACTTGCCCAAGATCAGTGTCAAGGCAGGCAGTGGAGAAATGGCACTGGGCTGCAGTCAGGAGGCCCTGGTCACACCCTAAGCCCTGATTCCAGCTTTAGACCGTAGCCTACCTGCTAGCCACAGATCAATATGGAGATGGGTACAATCGTGACTTCTTGCTGCCCATCTCAGCTGTTTGTCTTCAGGAAACCATCTTCACTGAGAAAGGGCACTGTGCCCTGACTGGTCTGGAAGTTTGCTGCAACAGGCCCATCAGAACACTTTAGCAGAGGTACAACTTTCAGGAAAGTCACTTTACCTCTCTGGGATTGAGTTTTCTCATCTGTAAAGTGGAGATTATAATCCAGCTTCCACCCTTTGCCCAGCCAATCCCCTTGGCTTCCTGGGTCAAATGAAATTCTATGAAGGATCTTTGTTAGTTGGACACATTTAAATGTGAACAATTGTATTCAAGTTGTGCCTATTATTTTTATTAATTGATGTTTGTGCTCCTTTCTGGTAGCCAGAAGGATCTGCTGTCCTCTGGAGACCGAGGATTCAGAAGCAAATTCTTCTGGGCCAAAGAGGCCAAGAGGAGCCCCAGGAACTCAGTCAGGACCCCCAGGTCCTGGAGGACTTGAGGAGCCACTAAGTTAGATGGCTGAGACCCCTTTGTCCTTATTAAAGACTGAGCCTGCTAGCAGGAACTGAGGTACCTGCCATTAACCAGCTCCACAGGATGTCCAGGGCAGCTGGCATCCAGGCCCTAGAAACTTCTCCCCCCTCCAGATACCACCCTAGGCTCAGCATCTGCAGACCTAAAGTTCACTCTCAGAAAGTATGGGCATTTGTGCTGAGACTTTAATGTGCCAACTCTTGGGAACTGGAGGATTGGGTTTTGCTTTGTTTATGGGACAGCCTTAAAGCTTTCACAGCTCCACTCAGTACTACACATACCCTCCATATGGAGCCATCTGGCTTGGGAGGGGGAAGGGGCTTGTCAGCAAGGTGCCTTAAGGCCTCTTGCATGGGACATCAAGGCCCTTTGTGACCCAGCCCTCTGGCCGAGCTCCTCTCCAGATCATCTCCCCTTGTACCCAGGCACTCCTGCAGCTTCCTCCTCCCATGGCACACACTGACCAGGTGTGCGCCTACCTCGGGGCCTCTGTGCTCCCGGTCTTCTGTCTGAGAACCCCTCCCCTCCCTCATTTGAAAGCTCACCTTCTCATTTCCTTTAGGTCTCTTCCTCAAAGACAGTGTATTAGTGAAACCCTCTGTGGCTACTGCATATTTTATCACTCACCCCTTCTTATATTCCCCTCCCTGGCTTTGATTTTCTTTACATGATTTTCTTTACATGATTTTCTTCATTCTTAGGTAACATGCAGCACATTTTTCTTTTTAGGATATTATCTTTTTCTCCTACTCGGAGCTAAACTCTGGGTGGGGCGGGGCGGGGGTCAGGGATTTTGTACTGCTTTGTTCACTACTGTTTGCCAGCAGCTAGACTAGAGCCTGCCACCTGGTATGTGCGCCTAAATATGTATTAAGTGAATAAATGAAGCAGTCTCAAGCCCAGCTTCTCCTTTCCATGTAAAACCCAGGGCCATTGTCCTCCTGGATGTTGAAAGCAGCCTCCTCCCTCATCCCCAGCCCCTTTTTCTGATCCCCAGCCTCCTCCTTGACCCCCTAGCCTCTTCTTTGGCCCAGAGTCATTTTCCTTTTGGAAACTCTTTACCATCTCCCTCTTCTCTTTTAATTCTATCTCTCTTGACCTATGAAATGTAGATATAAAATAATACAGTGTGAGTATCCCTTATCTGAAATGTTTGAGACCGGAAGTGCCTAGAACGCGCAACACACACACTGTAAGTTGGTGTGACTTTCTCCCTAAAGACACAGGCACCTGGCTGGGGGCACAGTGAGGAGGAATGGGGCTGTGTGGGCTGGGGGTATAGAAGAGCACCCACAAGCCTATGGTGGTGTGAATTCCAGGGTCTTGGGCAGACTGGGGTTGCTTCCTCACTGATTTCAGTAGGAGAACCCTGGAACCCTGCGTGAGCGAAGTGGTTGGGATCAGATCTCAGGAGGCAATGACTGCAAAGTCTAGGTGTTCTGCCCTGCTCTGCAGCAGCGGGCAACTTCTGTGAGCTCCAGTAACGAAACGTGCACATTGCCATCACTGTTGGAGGACAAGTGCTATGGGTGGGCACTTCCATTTGCAGGCTTCAGCAGGATCCTATAACTGTCCTTAGAAATCAGTATTATTGTCCCCATTCTGTACAAAAACACAGAAAGTTTGAATACCTTTCACAGGGTAAACTGATACAGCAGGGATCTGAACCCAGGCTCAGGTCATCCTAAATCTTTATCTCTTTTTGTCCTCCCGAGGCCTACCGCTCATCAGATGGTTACTGATGAGCAACCCCAGCGACCCAGAGGCTGCTGGTATTTCGCCTCATGGCAGAAGCTCCTTCCTGGTCCTCTGCAGGCTGTGAATGGGGCCTTCATGAAGCCTAGACTTGGAAGTAAAGAAGAGAATTCATGGTACTTTCGGAAACACATGTTCTTTGAAGGACGAATTTTTTGTTTTCATTTCAAACAGCCCTGCCTGGTGACGAGTGGTGAGGAGAGGTGCCCTGTTTTCCATCCTGACACCTATTTCCAGGTGGGGGCAGGGAGGACTCCAATCTGAAATGTTATTTCAAACCCTTTCCGGGCCTTGCGCTCCATTTCCAGCCCACATGCCTCAAAGCAAAGCAGGATTCCCATTACATCGTGTTGCCCTTTCTACTCTGAGCACTTTTCAAAGTGGGAAGACCTAGCCTGCTTCAGCACTCTCCCATCTGTCCCCGTAAATACAGTCTCATGGTCTGATGTGGAGTTTAAATAAACAGGCTTGGTAGGCACTGATGGCCACACTCCTGATAGGCCAGCTTGCTAAGGGCACCAAACTCTAGGCTACTCTGCCCTGCCCTCCAGAGAGACAAGATGAAACTAGTGTTTTACAAATGCTCCCGCTTTTTGCTATCTGAGACACATTCTGAAAAGGAGCAGGCCAGCAAAGTCCTGTCATCTGACAAGGTGTGGACAGAGATGGATGACATGCTCCCTGCCAGAGAAGGCCACATTCAGACACTCCCAGATAGCCAGCTGCCACTTTATTAACAGCGAATATCCCCATCTGAGTCAGGCTGGGAAAGAAAATATTTATGCTTGCTTGTCAGAAGGACCTTCACTTTTCTTCAGGGGGAGCCAGCTATGGTGCTAGTTCAGGGCTGAAGGGGTGTGACATGTCTGTGCATCTGCTCCAGGCCTGGCTGCAGCTCGGGGTTGATGAAGACTCCCAAATATCTCCAGGACAGCTCTGGGAAGGGATGAAGGGGGGCTTTGGGAGAGCAGGAGCTGCAGGCAGAGATCGGTGCTCATGCACATTCAACAATCTTTCCATGAACTGAAAAACATGTAGTTCCATTATTCAGAGAAGCAACTTAGTGGCCCTGAGTGAGAGGAAGAGAACTTTGCATTGTCTGAAAATGTCAACACTGAACCTGAGCCTGTCATTTAAATTGGGCATATATTAAAATCAGTTTATATTACTTTTATCATGATCTTTATTTTGAATAAAACTCAAAAGCCGATTCTTTAGCAGTTTCAGGGATGCCTGTGCATCTGCCTCCTGGGAAGGCCTTGCTGTGCTGCCCTGGAAGACAGCTGTACCCAATTACTGTAGCTGTGTTACAAGGTGCTAGACTGAATCAGTCAGGTGGCCCCCGGGAAACCTAGGTTTTAGCCTTGTAGGGGTGGCACGATTGCTCTCTTCAGACCCTACTGGAGTCCCTACCACCACCCCCAGCCCCAAATGCTACATCACTCATCTTCCCTATAAGCATGCACACTGGAGTCAGAAGACTTCAAATGCCAACTCTGTCACTTACCAGTTGTGCAGCCAATCCTGAGCCTTAATCCCTTGATCAGATGGAGCTAGCAAAAGGTCTTCTGGCTGGGGCTGTCTTGAAAGTAAAGTAAGTAAGCATGTGAAACATTTAGTGCAATGAGTGTTGGGGAAGTGGTCACAGGAGAAGCAGCACACGGGGCACAGCAGTGTCTCACTGGAGCTGTATCTATGGCTTTTATTTGTATGTAAAGGAATGTGTACAAATGTGTACCAGTGTAATTCCTAGCTCATATCTGCTAGTCTTCCCAGACTGCTGTAACAAATGTCCTGGGAGAGGAATAGAGATCTCTTCCTCACTGCTCTGGAGGCTAAGACGTCCAAGGTCAGGGTGCTGGAAGTTCAGGTCCTGGTGAGGGCCCTCTGACTTCCGCTCTGCATATGGCAGAGACAGCCTGAGCCCTGGTTTCCCTTCCTCTTTTTATAAGAACACTAACCCTACAGTGAGGGCCCTGCTCTCAAGACCTGATGTAAATCTAATGGCCTCCCAAGGACTCTTCCTCCAAATACCCTCACACTGGGGATGAAGGGTTTGATAAGAATTTTAGGGGAATTCGTTTAATCCATGATATCTCTGTGTGGTATCTGTATAGTTCATATCTATATCTGTTTGTGAACTTGTGTGTTCACAAGGATAGGCATTAACATTTATGGATGTATTATAAATTCAAGAAGAGAACAACGATGGCATGGGGCTTGTAAAGATTTGGGTGCACTTCTGTATGTGGGCTTATGTACATGATTGAGTAGGAAAGGTTAAATTTAGAGGCTCAGACTGCATGTGTGTGTCTGTGGATCACATGTGCACACATGTATGTATGTGAGCACATGAAGGACATGACTTGGATCATGGAAGGCCATCAGTTCAGTATAGCCAGTCACCTGCTCCTACCAGGTTCTGACAGCTGCTACAGGGATCTGGGCAGAGGGGCCAGGAGTTCCCTGGAACTGGAGACTCATTAAGCCTGAGATCCTGGCTACAGGCGCCAGAGGATTTGTACTATTGCAGAAGAGTCCCTATCCCTGAGAGCACAGTTTGCCTGAGGAGGGATCATGGAGACTGTCCTTGATGTTATAGGGACTTTATTAGCTCATCTCCATCTGGCAAGGGATGCATCTTCTTCTATTCAGATGGATCATTTGTCTCACTGATCGCCTTCCAAGCTGTAGCTCAAGTGACATTTGCTTAGCAATTGGCCGGTTTGAAAAGCTGATGTGTTAGATAGAGCCCAGGCATGCAAATGCAGCACCATCCTTCTGAGCCAGGGTGCAGGGCCAGGCCCAGGGAGAGGATCGGAAGGAGGGAGAGGAGGGCATTCAGTTGGTCAAGAATCCCACAGAAACAGGCAAACACATTATCCACTCCAGCACCAACAATTTTTCCCCCAGGGTAGCTAATTAGCAGTCAGCTGCCTGGGCTCTCTACTTGACTTGCAGAATTAGAATGCTCAGCACAGAAGTCTGTGTTTATGCTTGAAATCCAGCGTCCTTCTAGCAGAGGAGCTCTGTGAGCTCTGGAGCCTTAGACTTCTCAAGTCCATTCCAGGGGCCTGGCCAGGCCTCCCTCCAACAGACCCTTACTCCATTGAGACAGTGGCAAGTCTATCACAACAGTTGCACAGAACATGTCTACGCATAGGCCCAGATATGGCTTCACATACACAGATTTGCCCACAAGCAGAGGCACCCACCCACAGACACCTAGCCATAAACACATGCAGTCCGGTCCAGTCCTCAATCAGCACACCCACCACAAACACTCAGACATAATGGACACCCACACCTCAAAGAGTCACACACTGGCACTTGCTCCCATGCAGACCTATGTGCATGTAGCAGATGCATCTTCATACGAGAAACTGCTTAAATGAACTTATAAAACAAAAATTCTCAGGAACCTATATTAGTGATTCTTGACCAGAATCTCATGTCAACATCAGAAACGAGATTAGATAAGAATGACATATCAGATATCTGATACGGGAGTCAGAAATTATATGAGAAGCAGGATTTTCCTGGCAGAATCAGTGGAGAGCTTTGTATAAATATTCCTATTGGGCTCCTCCAGAATCTGATAAGTTGCTGAGTGAAATATGGCGAATTTTGAAAGGCTCCCTTGTATAATGAACACAAAGCATTTTTGGCGGGTGGTACTGTGGATTGAACCCAGGGCCTTCACGTTGAGCTCTGTCCCCAGCCCTTTCCTATTTTTAATTTTGAGATAGGCTCTCAGTTGTTAAGTTGCTCAGGTTGGCCTCAAACTGGTGATCTTCCTGACTCAGGTTCCCAGAGTGCTGGGATTACAGGCATGCACCACCACACCAGGCTACAAAAAGCATCTTTATCATTAAAAATTAAATTAAGTATCCAGCTATTAAGAGTATGAAAACTTTGATTTGGTGAAAACTGTTAGGATTTTTCTAAACAATGACTTTTTGTTTTGTTGTTTTGAAAATGGCATCAACTGGAACCAAGATTTTCCTGGTTGGCTCCCTTGTCTTTTGCTTTTTGTTTTTTTGGGGGTTTTTTTGGTACTGGGGATCGAACTCCGGTCCTTGTGCTTGTGAGGCAGGCTGTGGAACCACTGAGCTAAATCCCTGGCCCTCCCTTTTCTTTTTGTAAACAGATAGGAAGAGTGACAACAAATACAACTTGCCTAGAAAATTTTGATTCAACCGCAGATGTTTCTAAACCAGGAGAATCTCTGGTCCTGTCCCTTCCTGCTACATATAAGGAAACTGAGGCCCAGACAGAGCAAGTTACTTCAGGATGTCCTATTGCCATTTGCGACGTCTGTGCTTTAATCCATGCAGAACACACAGTGAGTGCTCAATAAGGGTTAGCAGCTCTATTATTATTGTTGTCCTAATTGTAAATCATTCTCATCAGTAGAGCCAGGCTAAGAATCCCAAATGCTCTTCCACACTTGGTTTATGGACTCAGATTTTCCTTCTGGTCCAGAAGACATTGAGGGGCCATAGGAGTCTGGGATCCCCCAGCCCTGCCTTCTCTGTTGGAGATCTAATTGATGTGTTCTAATTCTCCCATTCTGGGAAAAGGTAGGAGGGTTCTTAGGCATGGTAAGAGCAGCAGCATGGGGAACTCTGAGGAGAGGTGCACTCTGACAGGAGGCTGGGGAGGACAGCTGCCTCCTTCAAACCTGGAGAGGCCGCCTCCAGACAGAGCTGTGGATGAGCAGGGGCAGGACCCTGAGGTTGCAGGAAATGGGACTGGCAGGGCCCCATCTGTGTGAAGTTCCCCAGGGAGTCTCTTCAGGCCAAGGAGGCAGCTTCGTTCTAACCACTTCTCCCTGCACTGGGTTGCTGGGTGGTCCAGGGGAAGGGGTGGTGGTAGGGCAGGGCAGGTCAGGTCTGGGTATTGGAAGGATGGGGGGGGGCGTGGAGCTGTGTGGGTGAGGGGTGGGGAAGGCTGGTGCACAGGGAGAGCTGGGGGTCAGTGTTGGGAAGGTTTGGGGACATTGGCGGAGTAGGAGGGACTAGCAGATGCCAGGACTCAGGGAGGACCCAGGGAGCTGGATAGGGGCCCACTACAGGGAGGGTGGAGAGGAAACCCTGTTACCTGAGACCCCACCCCAGGTAACTGTCCCGGTTCCACTCGGCCCTGAGCCCCTACACTTTGTGTCTGAGGCTCCAGAACACGTACCGCCCCCACCCTCCTCCACCGAAGGCTGCCATTTGGAACGCATTTACAGACACATGGATTGTTTTTAAGTTAATGCTTTTTAATTCACTGTTTCCCAGTCGTAGTTTTTTATTGAAAAGGCGGATTCTGCCGGTGTGTGTTCCTTTGCGGGGATGGGAGGGGCAGCTTCATGGCAAGAGACAGAGTTCTGCTGTAGAGACAGAGAAAATGGCTCAGTGAGGCAGTGGGAAACGGGTAATCGAGGTAATCAGGGTCGGGGAGTAGGAAAGAGCCAGGGACAGCGAGGCGCAGAAGCCAGGACAGAGATCGGAGAAGTCTGGAAGATGAAGGCCTGGGGCAGGGTCGGAGCGGGTCAGGAGGGCCTCCCCCACCTCGACTGAGGTCCCTGGGGCTGAGCTTGCTTTCCTCCGGCTCGGCTCTCCGGCCGGCCGGTGTAGATCAGGCTGAACTCTGCAGGGCGAGGGCTGGAAGGAGGAGGTGGGCAAAGAACTCAGTTTGCAGGACCAGAGTCGGTGGGGGCCAGCGATGGAGATCGGAGAGGGAGGGCGGGGGACGAGGCCCCTCCGCCCCGGCAGACCCTCCCCTCCACTCGAGCCTGGATCCCGTGCTGAAGCTGTCTCGAGTGGCGTTCCTGGCTTGCTGTGCCGCCTGGGGACCGCTTCCTAACCTCTCTGAGCCTTGGCTATGCCACCTGTAGGAGAGGAACGAGGGTGGCCTGTTCAATCAGGGGCGAAACGGCTCGGGCGCCAGGGCAAAGGAGCCGGTCCCGGACACCTCGGCTTGGCTGGCGGTGGCCGCAGAAATCCCCGGACTCCTCGCCCGAGTCGCTGCCCCGAGGGGCTCATGTTTATGTAAATTCGCGGCGGAGGCGAGCGAGGGGCGCTAGCGCTTCCTTCCTCCGCAGCTGAGAACCATTTCGCCCACACCCCCTGCCCGCGCCCCTCCTCCCGCG